GAATTGCAGTCCCCTTATTCTCCACGGTAGAGGGAGGAACCTGATGGGAGGTGACTGGAGAATGGGGATGGTTCCCCCCTGACACCTGCTGTTCTTGTGATCGCGAGTGAGTTCTCACAAGATCTGATGATTCTATAAATGTCTGGCATTTCCCCTGCTCACCCGTCTCTGTCCTGCTGCCATGTGAAGAAGGTCCTTGCTTTTTCTTCACCTTCCACAATGATTGTAAGTGTCCTGAAGTCTCCCCAGCTATGTAGAACTGTGAGTCAATTAACCTTTTTTCTTTCCTTTTCTTTTTGAGACAATTCTTACTCTTATCCCCCAGGCTGGAGTGCAGTGGCACGATCTTGGCTCACTGCAACCTTTGCCTCCCAGGTTCAAGCGATTCTCTTACCTCAGCCTCCCTAGTAGCTTGGATTACAGTCACCTGCCACCACATTGGCTGATTTTTGTATTTTTTAGTAGAGATGGGGTTTCACCAAGTTGGCCAGGCTTGTCTGGAACTCCTGACCTCAGGTGATCTGCCCTCCTTGGCCTCCCAAAGTGCTGAGATTACAGGCGTGAGCCATTGTGCCTGTAATGTTTTCTTTATAAATTACCTAGTATCAAGTAGCATCTTTATAGCAGTATGAGAATGGACAAGTACACCAAGACTCCCCTTCTAGACACCAGAATGTATAATCTTGATGCCAACTATTTATCTCATCATAGCTATAGATCAACCTATCTTTGGCTACTGAATCTCCCCTATATTGCCAAACCTTCCTCTGCCATCAGCCAGGCCAAACAGGGAGGCAGTGTCTAATGCCTGATTTTAGGCCTAAGTCTTATACACTTAGGCCTGTCTTAGAATGTCATAACTCACCAATAAGTTCTAAAATAGGACATTGCTACCAAGACATCATTCCTTATTATTACTGCGCATAGAAACTTCTTCCTCTGCCTACGTTAAGATTTTATTCATTTATAGTCTCCTAAGAGACCTCTTTATTTTTTCTATATTTATATGTTGTCTCTCCAACAAGGCTATGACCTCTCTGGGGACAGTTGCCCTATCTCCTAAATTCTGTAGTCCTGTTGTGTGAAACAATTTAATCAATCCATAAAAGTAATCTTTTTTTTTTTTTTGAGATGGAGTCTCACACTGTCACCTAAGCTGGAGTGCAGTAGCACAATTTCCACTCACTGCAACATCTGCCTCCTGGGTTCAAGCCATTCTTCTGCCTCAGCCTCCTGAGCAGCTGAGATTACAGGCGCCCACCACCATACCCAGCTAATTTTTTGTATTTTTAGTAGAGCCGGGGTTTTGCCATGATGGTCAGGCTGGTCTCAAACTCCTGACCTTGTGATCCGCCCGCCTCTGCCTCCCAAAGTGTTGGGATTACAGGTGCGAGCCACCATGCCTGGTCTCATAAAAATAATTTTTAAAACCTGGATTCAGACCAAATCTTCCAAAATTTTCCCACTTTCTGGACAAAGGCCCAGAAAGAAAAAGAATAGAGTCCTTATTTAACTGAAATATTCAACCTATTTGAAGTCAAGCAAATCAAATCTCTTTGGCTTTATGGATTTCCATCTATTTCCACCCATTCTGAGTATTCCTGTTTTTCATCTTAGCTTTTTATTTCTTTCCACTGAGAGCTGCTCCTCTGCTCACCTTTAATTATTCTTTCCACTGATACTCATGGCACTTTGTACTTCCTCTTTCATAACACATCGCATTTGGATTTATTTTTCACTATCTTTCTTCTCCCAAGGACTTTTAGTTAGATGTAGGTAGAAGCCATTTCTTCCTTCTTCATTACCCCAGCATCTGAGCATGATGCCTGGCACATAGTAGGCATTCAGTAAATAATTATTAAATGAATAACTCTGTACCTGGCCCCAAGTTATACTCTCTCACATTTCTCTCTGCCCCATATTTGTAAATTAACAAAATTTATTTCCCTTGTTAGTGCATTTGAGATTTTTTTCAAAGTGATTTTAAACATTAATTGATTCCAAAAGGAAGTTCGACAAACTACAAAAAGGGAAATTCAGATTTCAAAAGTATAAATTTTTATCCTTAATAAATTTTTTAAAGTATAGCTTTCTGTTCTGACACATACTGATTAATAGCCAGGCTCATGATATCTGTTTCACATCCTACTCAATAATGCCACCCAACTAGTGTGTTCTTCCTTTGTCCTCTTTCTTCCCTGAGCTCTCAGGTATGTAAGTCCTGGAAGAAACTGCACATGAATGAGATAAAGACTTTTTTTTTTTTTTTAAATGAACTGCTGCTCTTATTCTTCTCCTGGTGCGTACTGGCAGTTTATCTTTCTGTGCATCTATCTGTAGTAGTTGGACCAATGGAAATGGCAAGTGTCTTCAGTCAATTAGGAAAGAATTGTGTACTCCCTTTGACTAATTAGTACCATTTCTTCCTAATTATCTCCCTTGGAGAGATTATTATGCCAAATTAAACTAAAAATTTTAAATTAAAGTCAAGCTAAATTTCATTTATCAATGTATCATTTCACCTTCTAGTCCAGTCTCTGTTATAAAGGATTGGTTTGAAAGTGCGTTAGTCTGTGCAGGCTGCTATAACAAAATACCATAAAGCAGGTAGATTTTAAACTGCAGTAATTTATTTTTGACAGTTTTGGAGGCTGGAAAATCCAAAATCAAAACACAGACTAGGTACAGCAGCTCACATCTGTAATTCCAGCACCCTGGGAAGCCGAGGTAGATGGATCACTTGAGGTCAAGAGTTGAGACCAGCCTGGCCAACATGGTGAAACCCATCTCTACTAAAAATACAAAAAAAAAATTAGCTGGGCATGGTGGTGGGCACCTGCAATCCCAGCTGCTCAGAAGGTTGAGGCAGGAGAATTGCTTGAATCTGGGAGGCAGAGGTTGCAGTGAGCCAAGATCATGCCACTGCACTCTAGCCCTGCACTCTAGCCTTGGCTACAGAGTGAGACTTCATCTCAAAAAAAAAAAAAAACAAAACACCGACAGATTCAGTGTCTTATAAGGGCCCTTGTTCTAATACATAAATTCTGCCTTCTTGATGTACCTTCACATGGTAGAAGGTGCAAACAAGCGCCTTGGGCCTCTTTCATAAGGCAACGAATCCTATTGATGAGGGTTCTGTCCTCAGGATTTAATTACCTCCCACCAAGGGCCCCCATCTCTTAATACAATCACCTTGGGGATTAGAATTTTGATGTACGAATTTAGGGGAGACACAAACTTTCAGACCATAACAGAGAGGGATTTGTTTGTGGAGGTGTGTACCTGTGGTCCTAGCTACTCAGGAGGCTGAGGAAAGAGGATCCCTTGAGCCCAAAAGTTTGAAGCTACAGTGTGCTATAAACGTGCCATTGCACTTCAACCTGCTCAACAGAGAAAGATGCTGTCTCTAAAAACTAATAATAAATGAAAAATAAAATAATAAGCCATGTAGATTGTTAAATGTCAGTATTTACATTATTCCTTTGATCAAAAGGAACAAGGCTTTCTAGGAGCAGGATTTAATGGGTGGAGTTAGGGTGAAGTTTTAAAACTCTCTCAATTGAAGCATGGTATACCCACAATTGATTTATCAATTTCTGAACTTGGCCTTCTGGATCCATCTGCTTCTCACCCCCATCTCCCATGCCTGTTTTTGTCCTTGGCTTTTAATCTTTCTCTTCCTCCTCTTTCTCATTTTCTTGGTCTTGCTCTTGCTTACACTCTCTGCAATTTCTGCGCCGCATAAAGGCACCCAGGCAAGGGTTTAAGATCTTCTGAAATCTACTGTACTGTATCCACTAAACAAGCTATGGGTATTGGTGAGTGAGTTTGCCCCAATCTACAGGCTAGCAGAGGCCCCTCCTCATTCCTAGGCTTACTGTCAGCCAACTCCCACTTCATATACATATAGTGACTCTCCAGCCTAGTATGGCACTTCCTCTTCTTGGTTCTTGGGTCGGGCAAATATCTAGCTGTGGTTTAATGTATTGTGGAGTTATCCTGGGGCTCTTTTCTGATTGACCTGAAATCGTATGGGTGCTGGTATAGCATTTAGGCCCTCTAACCCATATTGCCTAGTCTCAAATGACAATTCTGTCATGTACTCATTTCTCTGTGCCTTGGCTTTCTTGTCTATAAAGAGAGAACAGTAATATCAACCATCTCCCGTGGTGGGTGTACACATGTAAAACACCTAGAAAAGTATAAAACACGGTAAGCATTTAGTAAGTGTCTATTGATTGTGAGTTCACTCATTACCTTGTTGGAGAGATACCCTTGTCACTTCAATCACCCTAATAATTTAACAAATGTTTATTGAATGACCATAATATATCACTATAACAGGAAGAACATAGAGATGAAGCAAAAACTAATGCTGATTTCAATGAGCAACTTTTGATTTATAGATAGTAATGATGGCAAAGGAGTAGCTGTTTATTTTAATAATCATTTATAGGCTGGATGAGGTGGCTCATGTCTATAATCCCAGCAGTTTGGGAGGCTGAAGTGGGGGGATTGCTTGAGCCCTGGAGTTCAAGACCAGCTAGACTCCATCTCTAAAATAAAAAGGTAGGCCGGGCGCGGTGGCTCAAGCCTCTAATCCCAGCACTTTGGGAGGCCGAGGCGGGTGGATCATGAGGTCGAGAGATCGAGACCATCCTGGTCAACATGGTGAAACCCCGTCTCTACTAAAAATACAAAAAATTAGCTGGGCATGGTGGCACGTGCCTGTAGTCCCAGCTGCTCGGGAGGCTGAGGCAGGAGAATTGCCTGAACCCGGGAGGCGGAGGTTGCGGTGAGCTGAGATTGCGCCATTGCACTCCAGCCTGGGTAACAAGAGTGAAACTCTGTCTCAAAAAAAAAATAAATAAAATAAAATAAAAATAAAAAGGTAGTTCTTTACAGTTGCCTCTGTTGACCCTTAAATGCAAGAAAGAACATTTACCCTTTGACTTCTTTTTGGTTTGTTTGTTTGTTTGTTTGTTTGTTTGTTTGTTTTAGGCTGAGCACAGGGGACTTGACTGATGGTACATGACAAGGTGGGGCTCCCTAGGCCCCCTCCCTCTTCAAGGGGTCTACATGGAAACTGTGAGGATGGGCAATTCAGTGTGGTAGGGGACTGAGTGTGGCAGGGACTCACCAGCAGTGAGGGCCTCTCTCTTCCTCTCATGCTCTTGCTGTGGCTGGTAGTCCAGGGGTCTTACTCCTTGGAAGCCATGTGGGCCATGACATCCACCACCCTGTTACTGTAGCCAAATTCATTGTCATACCAAGAAATGAGTTTGACAAAGTGGTCATTGAGGGCAATGCCAGCCCCAGCATCAAAGGTGGAAGAGTGGGTGTCGCTGTTGAAGTCACAGGAGACCACCTGGTGCTCAGTGTAAACCAGGATGCCCTTGAGGGGACCCTCTGATGCCTGCTTTACACCTTCTTGATGTCATCACATTTGGCAGGTTTTTCCAGACAGCAGGTCAGGTCCACCACTGACACGTTGGCAATGGGGACACGGAAGACCATGCCAGTGAGCTTCCCGTTCAGCTCAGGGATGGCCTTGCCAATAGCCTTGGCAGTGCCAGTAGAGGCAGGGATGATGTTCTGGAGAGCCCCACGGCCATCATGCCACGGTTTCCCAGAGGGGCCATCCACAGTCCTTTGGGTGGCAGTGATGGGGTGGTTAAGAATCCTTCCACAATACCAAAGTTTTAATGGATGACCGTGGCCAGGGACAGTAAGCATTTGGTGGTGGAGGAGGCATTGCTGACAATCCTGAGGCTATTTTCATACTTCTCATAGTTCACGCCCATCACGAACATGGGGGCATCAGCAGAGGGGGCACAGATGATGCCCCATTTGGTTTCCCCCTGCAAGTGAGCCCCAGCCTTCTTCATGGTGATGAAGATGCCAGTGGACTCTACCACGTACTCAGTGCCAGCATCGCCCCACTTGATTTTGGAGGATCTCACTCCTGGAAGATGGTGATGGGATTTCCATTGATGATAAGCTTCCCATTCTCAGCTTTGATGGTGCCATGGAATTTGCCATGGGTGGAATCATACTGGAACATGTTGACCATGTAGTTGAGGTCAATGAAGAGATCATTGATGGCAATAATATCCACTTTACCAGAGCTAAAAGCAGACCTGGTGACCAGGCGGCCAATACGACCAAATCCATTGACTCTGACCTTCACCTTCCCTATGGTGTCTCAGGGATGCAGCTGGTGATGGGAGGCAAGATGCAACTGTATGTCGAATAGGAGGAGCAGAGAGCCTACCCTTTGGCTTCTAATATTGTCGTATATTCTTCAGAAAATCAGAAGCACATGTTGGAAACATCGATCATGATCACCCTTGTCTCTCTTAAATTTACCAGATTGTCAAAATTATATCTTCTCCTGTTTTCCTGTAATTAGAAACAATACTTTGTCTTTTTCCTAAATTCTCAGTTCTCCAGGTTCTCAGAAATCATAACTTCAGACCTTGAAATGATAAATGACTCTGTTCCACCCCATCTAGCTTTTGTATTACATAAAGTACATATATATATATATATATATATATATATATACATGTAGAGACGGAGTCTCACTATGTTGCCCAGGCTGGCCTCAAATTCCTAGGCTCAAGCCTTCCTCCCACCTTGGTATCCCTGTGAGAACGGGTGTGAGCCCTTGCCACCTGCTCCTACTCTGGTTTTGTGTTGGTGGTTTGTCAGTATATATGTGTTTGCCTTTGGGCTACAGTGAAATGTGGAAACATGAGCTGTAACCAGAAAGGCATATCTGAATTTACCATTGCATGGCTTCATTTAAGCCCTTTCTCAACAGTTACCAGATCCAGCTGGATTTTATCTCTGACTTGTGATCACAGTGAAAGAATGCAAAAAGGAGATACAAACTTTTAAAATGTTCTGTCCAGAAAAGAATAAATAAAGAACACTATCTGAAAAAACATGAAGTTCTAGTAAAAATGATGCTTGACACAGAAAAAAAAAAAGGATTTTAAAAGATACAGTGACTTAACTAAAAATAAAAGACAGTTATTTGTTTGGTTTACCATTCTCCCCCCGAAACAGAGGGATATTTATATATTTGTATATTCTGACAGGGACTTTCTCTTCTAAGGGAGCAAAGGAGTCACAGAGGCCCTAAGCTCCACCATAGAAATGTGATAATGGAGATGTGCAGTGCTCTAGGGCCAAGATTAGCCTCTGAGACAGCATTGGGTGACATTGTTTTACCATAATATTTTTGCTTTCTGTTTTGAGTTCTTTGGTGGTTCACAGAGGTTCTCTTTTGCTCCACCTTTTATCTAATCAGCCACAATAAAATGTAACTGTCAACCAGAACAGTGTGTTTTTATAGCCAAGTGTTTCAGAAAAACCTCAAACTGTGTTTTTTCTCTGCTCTCACACCAGCACAACAAGCATCAATACAGAAGACTTCTGTGACCCCAAAATATGTGGGGTTTCTCCCCACCAACAAGCAAGCAATCAGTTTGGCAACAAACACCAACTAGATGTCTTCCAATTCAATTCCAACACTATTTACCTGGAAATACTGTTCAATCCCACAGGGTAAGGGCTCAGCCCCTCAAGATTGTCCTCTTTCCCTCCCCCCACCCTGCTAGACACCAGTCACAAGTCTGGGGCCTCTAGAACTTCTGACAACTGGCTTCAAGTTGGGGTTCCCCCAACCCCTCTGAGTTCAATTAATTTGCTACAGTGACTCACAGAACTCAGGGGAACATGTTTATCAATTTATTTTATTACAGAGGATACAGACGAAGAAATGCCCAGGGTGAGGTATACAGGAAGGGGCACAGAACTTCCATGCCCTCCCTGTGCGAGCTACCCTCCAAGAACTTGCATGTGTTCAGCTACCCAGAAGCTCTCTGAATCCAGTCTTCCTGGCTTTTTAGGAAGCTTCATGACGTTAGCACTCCTTCCTCCAGGGTATGGGATGAGACCCTCTCTGGAATGGTGGTTTTATGACCCACAATCAGATTAGAGTCCTGCCTTGGGGCAGGTGAAAGGAAGGCTGGAGAAAGTCAGAAAGGCCTAACACACCAACTTTATAACAAAAGACTGTAACAAAGACTCTGGGAGTTATGAGCCAGGAATCAAATGGAAACCTATACATATGTACGTATTTATATCTACCACCACATGGAGGAAAGGTTTCATACAATGATATGAAACTGGAAATAAATAAGAGGAGAAAACTTGGAAAATTCGCAAGTATGTGGAATTAACACTCCTGAACAACCAATGGATCAAAGAAGAAATCAGAAATATCTTAAGACAAATGAAAATGGAAACACAACATACCAAAATTTATGGGATGTGGCCAGGCGCAGTGGCTCACATCTGTAATCTCAGCACTTTGGGAGGTCAAGGCTGGCGGATCACTCAAGGTCAGGAGTTCAAGACCAGCCTGACCAACATAGTGAAACACCATCTCGACTAAAAATACAAAAATTAACCAGGCATGGTGGCAGGCACCTGTAGTCCCAGGTACTTGGGAGGCTGAGGTGGGAGAATCACTTGAACTTGGGAGGGGGATGTTGCAGTGAGCTGAGATCATGCCACTGCACTCCAGCCTGGGCAACAGAGTGAGATCCATCTCAACAACAACAACAAAAATTTATGAGATGCAGCAAAAGAAGTTTAAGAGGGAAAGTAACAGTGATACAGGCCTATTGAGAAAAAGAAAGATCTCAAACAAACAATGTAACTTTCCATCTGAAGGAACTAGAAAAACAAGAACAAACTAAGTTTGCAGAGGAAAGGAAATAATACAGATTAGAGCACAAGTAAGTGAAATAGAGACTAGAAAAAAAATAGAAAAGATCAGTGAACTAAATTGTTTTTTTGAAAAAAAAAAAAATGACAAAGCATTAGCCAGGTTAAGAAAATAAGACAGGAGATCCAAATAGCTATAAATGAAAGAGGAGAATTTACAATGGGTACTCAGAAACACAAAGGATCATAAGAGACTACTATGAACAATTACATGCCGCAAATTGGATAACCTAGAAGAAATGGTTAAGTTCCTAGACATATACAAGCTAGAGGAAGACAGAGTCATGAAAAAATAGAAAATCTGAATAGACCAATAATGAGTAGTTTGAATCACTAATTTAAAATATTCTACCAAGGAATATTCTTTAAATGTTTGGTAGCATTCACCAGTGCAACCATCTGGTCCTGGGCTTTTCTTTAATGAGAAACTTTTTACTACTGATTCAATCTCCTTACTTACCTGTTATTGGTCAATTCATTTGTTTATTTTTAAGATGGAATTTTGCTCTTATTGCTTAGGCTGGAGTGCAATGGTGCAATCCTGGCTCACCGCAACTTCCGCCTTCCAGGTTCAAGCAATTCTCCTGCCTCAGCCTTCCGAGTAGCTGGGATTACAGGCACGCAACACCAAGCCCAGCTAATTATTTGTATTTTTAGGAGAGACAAGGTTTCTCCATGTTGGTCAGGCTGGTCTTGAACTCCTGACCTCAGGTGATCCACCCACCTCAGCCTCCCAAAGTACTGGGATTACAGGCATGAGCTGCCGCAGCTGGCCATAAGTTATTTTAATTATTATTATTTTGAGACAGGATCTTGCTCTGTCACCCAGGCTGGAGTGCAGTGGCACAATCTTGGCTCATTGCAACCTCCACCTCCTGGGTTCAACCAATTCCTGTGCCTCAGCTTCCTGAGTAGCTGGACTACAATTTTTGTATTTCTAGTAGAGACAGGGTTTCACCATGTTGGCCAGGCTGGTCTCAAACTTCTAACCTCAAGTGATCCAGCCACCTCAGCCTCCCAAAGTGCTGGGATTACAGGTATGAGCACATATTACCATGCCTGGCTGGGTTATATTATAAATAAATATTGTCACTAATAAAACATATGAAGAACCAAAATTTGCAAATGATTTTCTTTACTAATAAAAAGTGGCCAGGCACAGTGGCTGACACGTGTAAGCCCAGTACTTTGGGAGGCCAAGGCAGGCAGATCACTTGAGCCCAGGAATTCCAGACCAGCCTGGACAACATGGTGAAACCCCGTCTCTATTAAAAATAAAAAAAAAAATTAGCTGGGCGTTGTGGCGCATACCTGTATCTGTAATGTGTGTAATCCCAGCTACTCAGGAGACTGAGACAGGAGGATCACTTGAAACTGGAAGGCAGGGGTTGCAGTGAGCCAAGATCACATGACTGCACTCCAGGCAGGGTGACAAAGTGAGACTTCATCTCAATAAATAAATAAGTAAATGAGAGTGGATTCAATATTATCTCTATAATAATATTCTCACTCACTTGCATTCATATATGCTTTATTACTTTGGCAAAAAAAGGAACACTGGGAATTGCGCATAACTCGAAGCCTGTTTATCTCAATTAAGTTGCTGCCAGCAGTCTTGGTCACCTTTCAGGAGTGTTACAGATGAACACCACCCATTCTCTAACTTTGATTTTTCTAAATTAAATGAATTATGAAATATAGTTGACCCTTGAACAATGTAGAGGTTAGGGGTCATCAACACGTCTCTCACTGCACAGTCAAAAAATCCATGTATGAGTTTTGACTTCCCAAACACTTAACTACTAATAGCCTACTATTGACTTTAATGATAAATCATATATTAACACATATTTTTGTATATGTATTATATGCTGTATTTTTACAATAAACTAGAAAAAAGAAAATGAGCCAAATGTGATGGCTCACACCTGTTATCCCAACATTTTGGGAGGCTAAGGTGGGAGGATTGCTTGAGGCCAGGAGTTCAAGACCAGCCTGGGCAAAATAGTAAGACTCCGTCTCTTAAAAAAAAAGGTAAAAAAAATTTTTTTTTTTTTTTTTAAACAAGGTCTTACTCTGTTGCCAAGGCTAGAGTACAGTGACACGATCTCACCATATGACTCACCACAGCCTCAACCTCCCAGGCTCAAGTGATCCTCCCACTTCTGCCTCCCAAGTAGCTACTACGGATGCACGCTACCACACCCAGCTAATTTTTTTTTTTTTTCCAGAGTTGAGTTCTCACTATGTTACTCAGGCTAGTTTGAATTCCTGAGCTCAAGTGATCTTCCTGACTTGGCTTTCCAAAATGCTAGGATTAGAGGTGTGAGTCACTGCTCTCAGCCAAAAAAAAAAAAAAAATTTTTTTAAAGAAAATGTTATCAAGAAAGTCATAAGGAAGAGAAATATATTTACTGTTCACTAAGTGGAAGTGGATCATTATAAAAATCTTTATCCTTGTAGTCATCACATTGAGTAGACTAAGG